GGCGACACGGGGGAAGCAAAGTAACGTCAAGTACGTACCACTCTTTGTGGAAACATAGGGGGCCATGGGGATATTCACAATTGTTTTCCGCACGGTCCTGGATACTTGAAGAAGCGCGGTATCCACGATGTGTACATCGTTGAAACTGTTGAAAGCCACAAGAAGGACACCGGCGGGAGAAACGATTCCACAAGAAGGTAGGTAGAGAGAGCGAGAGAGAGGGAGAGAGACAGAGATTGGTTCTTTGCTTCTTGGAAGCGAAGCAGCACCACTCCATACGATATGGTGATGATGGTGTGACCGTGGCGGACTACAAAACTCTCGGATGTACCGCAACACCGCGGACATACAAATGCCCCGACGAAACCTTGGTCTGTGGTCGGGCCGTGTGCGACTGCCGTGCAACCTACAAAACGGGGAGCGGGCGAATGGGGAGGGAACAGCTGCTCTTCAAAAAAATAAATCCTCACGTGGCGTAGAAACCAGGGCACTTGGTCAACATGATCTCGTCCCCGAACGAGTCACGTCGGGTCAGAGTCACCGCTTCCCTCGCCGCCGACGCTGTCTTCACAGCAGCTGGCAACACCTTGCCCTTGTCTTTGCTGCGGGTTCGGCTGCGGGTTCGGCTGCCGCCGTCGCTCCCGCTGCCGTTCGGGCGCCCCGCCCCCCCGCCGTCGTCGCTCCCGGCCGACGACAGACGCGCCCAGGATCCATCATCGCTTCTGGTGTCAGACCCTTCGCGCTCCCGCTTCGCGCCTCGTTCATCACCGTGCGATTGCGGCGGCGACGATGACGACGATTCCCCTCTCTCCGCGGCCGACAGCGACGAGTCCCCCTCTTCTCCGGCCTCTACTGCTACCGCCGCCTGCTGCTCTTGCTGGCCCTGGAGAAGCGGCTCGGTCGCCGAGTCTTCCTCCGGCCCTGCTCCTCCTTCCTCTGCCAGCCGTTCTCGTGATCGCGAGGTCCAGTACCTGAGGACGGCGGACGCGTTGGCTGCGGCGGCGGCGGCAGCGGCGGACACGCCTCCGGCTCCGGTACGGCCTCGCCTCGCTCCGTTGTCGTCGTCGCCAGTAGCGGCGACGGCGGTAGAGGAAGCATTCGGAGGAGGCGTGATCAACGGCGGCTGGTAGCCGGGGGGGGTGGCGGAGGCGGCGGAAGCGGAAGCGGCGGCGGCCGCGGCTGCGGCGGCGGTGGCGGCTGCGGCTGCGGCGGCGGCCAGCGTGGCGGGGCTTTCTAAGCTCTGCAGCCAGCGCATCTTTCCGTCGGGGCCGATCACGCGCTGCCATATGCGCCTGCGTCGTGCCCTGCGAGCGCGACCGTGTATGTGTGTGTCGGGTTTTAAGCCCATGGCGACAAATAGAAACACCGTAAGAGAGAGAGAGAGAGAGAGAGAGAGAGAGAGGACGGTGACGGTTTAGGGGCAGTGCAAATTGAGGCGGGAGGGGCGTATCTCTCCACGAGGCACAACGTGAATGAGTCAACGACATGTACGAGACATGAGACATGAGACGTGAGACATGAGACATGAGACAAACTCTTGCCATGAAAACAGGCCACACCACTCCGCAAGCCCCCCCCCGTATCCGAACGACGACACGCACAAAAAAAAAAACTTCGACGAGAAGAACGGCAATGCTCGACACCACCACCACCACCTGCAAGCATGACCCAACACGCCGGCCACCTCTTTCGTCGCTCCGTCGTGGCCCCGCCGACCACGCCCAACACGCCTGCCATCAAACCCCTCTCGGTCGCTCTGTCAACGCCCCGCCGACCATGCCCAACACTCCTGTGGGACGACTCACCTCTTTTGCCGTTCTGTCAAGGGCCCGAGGCGCCGCACCGTGCGGAACGGCGCTGCGCGAGGCTTTTCCCCGTCCTTCGTCTCTCCCCCGAGGGAAGCCCCCACGCGGCGCGCTGATCCGTAACCGTCCCCGCCAACGCCGCCACCGACGATGTAGTCATCGTCGTCGTTATCGTCGTCGTTGTCGTCTGGTGCAGTAGTGCCGCCGCCGTTGCTAAAAAAAAAACGAAACCAAACAAACGATCAAGTGTAATTTTTAGGAAATAAAAGAAAAACTGCGGTTAAGGGAACGAGGCTATTAACTAGGTTGCCTTTCGCGGTTTGAGCCAAGAGCACAAAAAAACAAAAAAAACAGAGCAAGTCCGGGAGGGGGGTGATCAAACCGCCTGATCCCTTTCGGTAAGTCGACAGCAAGGCGGGCAGCCGTTTGCTCGCATCAGGGCTAGGGTTTATCCTTGACAAGGACAGCAAAGGACAAACAAACACATAACATTTCCCCCAAGAATCAATATGCTAAGATGGTGTCAAAGCGAAACACTAGTGGGTCAAAAACACGCATCCACACGTACACATAGCAAGAAGACACACACAAAAAACGTGTGTAGTATAGTCAGAGTATGAGAGCGGAGGGGGTGGCGAAACCCCCCGTCTCCCGCCGAGCTGGCACCGATACTATCTAGTGAACGACGATACCGTCAACACACATAAAAACACACAAAAAAAGTAGGCTTCACCTCCTTCTTCCCCTGGTCCCCTCCACCCACCTGCCCCCCTGCATCAACCCCGTTCCCGCCTGCAGCAGCAGCGGCGGCGGCGCGGCAGCCTCGGGTTCGTTCGCGACCTCGCTCTCCTCGGCATCGCCTCCATCCGTCTCTTTTCCGATCCCCTCCCTGTCCCCGCCCTGTCCGGCCGCGGACATCTCGGTTGCCTCCGTGCTGTCGCTACCTCGTGCTGCGTCGCCAAGTTCACCGCACCCGCCGCCCCCGTCTTCCTCTCCGGCGCCGCTACCGCTGTACGGTGTCGAGAACGGTGGCCTCGCGTCCCCGCCTCCCCCGGCCTTGCCCTCTTCTACGCTCGTTTCGGACGGCTGACAAAAAAAACGCACACACACACACACACACAGATTTGATTTGATTTGATTTGATGGCGTTCTGTACTCCGTAAGACTGACGTCTTCTCATTGGCTAGCGTGGTCGATGGTAGTTCAACACACAAAGAGCAAGAGCAGCAACGAACACTCAAGACAAGGGCCCTTTGTGGAGCACCTGACGGGCAGGGTAGAGATATAGACAACAGCAGCAGCTCGTTCGAGACCGGTAGTCTGGCGGCATCAACAACAAAACAATGTTATTTGCTACATACACAGCAGTTGCTGCTGGTTGGTGTCCACCTAGACACAAGGGTGCCCTCGGCTCACTCATTCATACATCATAATTCACCTTCTTCGATACCGTCGCACCGCCCTTGGGCCTCGAAGTGTCCTTGTCCTTCCAATACGCCTGTTGCCCGCGCCGACACGCAAACGATGACGGTCACGGAGCCACATGATGACCGTCAACAACTATTCAACGTGGAGAAGGACGAACCGAAAAAAGGGCTGTGCACCGATAGCAACGACAACGGTCAAGGAGCCACACGATGACGGCCGACAACTTTTCAACGTGGAGAAGGACGTACCGAAAAAGGGCTGCTGGAGGACACCACTTCTCAGCAATGGCAAGAAAGAACAAACGCAGTCGAGCTCCCTTGGGGGGGGGGGGGGGGGTAAACGCCGCCGGCAAAGTAACAACAACGTAGCGGTGGTGGGTCTCCTCGCGAGGACAAAAATCTTCTTTCCACGCGGCATGGGAGAAAAAAAAAGCAAAAAATCCGGAGGCATTGGGAACAACGACGGACTTGACAACGAGTGCGTGCGTAGTGTAGTGCTTCGGTCTGACCAAGTGTACCATTGGTGCACGACGGCCGCAAAGTAGACTTTGCAATCTACCGCCGGTTTTCATGTAGGATACTGCGCCCCCCGGGGACCGATTATCAAAGCTCGACTGCTAACGGTGCCTGGCACGGCGGCGGCGTTGCGAGTCCAAGCCACCACACACTACTGACACAAGTCCGGTAGACGCCGCGTCTGTACCCACCAGCTCCGGTGTACACCAGCCTCATCACGGACAGCGCGCTCGACGCTGCTGCTATGACACAGGCGGAGACTTGTTTAAACACTCGCAAAGAGGGAACAACACTCGATTTCCAATCGATACCACTTTCCATCCACCCCTCCCTCGTGGCCTCCTTTCCGACAACACCAAGCACGAACAATCTGATTCATCGATGTTAGTGTTTTGCCAGCCCCCTGTAGTCCTTGCTGTCATTTAGTTCGTGTGCGTTGTTGGGAGAATATTTTATGGTCGGCTTATTGCTAAGACAGACAGATCGTCGCACCTCCGCAAACTCCGAGCTCATGCCGCACAGGTCGCAGTGCTTGCAGCGGGGTCTGTTGTCGAACCCGCAGACGGGGCATCGCCAGGAAGCGTTACCCGCAGAGTCTGTAAGACTGCTCCGAAAGATAACCTAAGGGGGTGGGGGTGTTTGCCACACGAGCATACGTTACTCAAATTGGGTTAAGTACTAGACAGCCGTTCGTGTCCACACGTCTGTGTAGCGAAACGAGCATACGTTTCTCAAATTGGGTAGGCAATTGTAGACAGCCGTTCGTGTCCACACGTGTTTATTGCAACACAAGCATACGCTTCTCAAGTTGGGTAAGTACTAGACAGCCGTTCGGTGTGTTGCCGCACTACAGCAGTAGTATACGTTTCTCAAATTGGGTCAAGTACTAGACTGCCGTTCGTGTCCCACACGTGTGTGTTGCGGCACGGGCATACGTTACTCAAATTGGGTAGAGTAATCGATAGCCGTTCGTGTGTGAGAGTCAAGGGAGAGTTGCTGTCGTATTGTGCGCATCGTACATACGTAGACACTGCCGTCGTCCATAACCGACCTCGTGCTGCTGTTCCTCGCCGTCGTCGTCGAGCAGGGGCACCGCAAGATCACCCCCGGAGGCGAGCCACCACCTCTCGTGCCACATCGCCACGAACTTCCTCGCCATCGTGAGGAAGCAGCAGCAGCACAGCAGGGCCGAGAGCGTCAGGACCAGCACGTACCAGCCGGCCCCCTCCTGACAGGTTGCCTGAAAAAAAAAGAAGGGAGAAAAGCGACGACATGCAGGAAAGCGGGAGAAATTAAGAGAAAGGCTGCAGGGGCCTGCGTTCACCGCCGCAGAGACGAAGCTTTGCAGCAATGCGTTGTGCGCGTGCATGCGCATGGTTTTCGACTAACGTTGAGTCAGGGTTGCGCTTGTTTCGTGGTTCCTGGGGGTGGCGGGGTCCGCCGTTTGGAAACATAACTTACATACATACGTTTCACGTTTGCACGTGGCAACACTGCTGTCGTGTCGTCGAGCTCTCGCAGGTTACAGGGCGACTTCTACCCTGATTTGGTCCTCATGGCCATTGACATGTGACCAAAACTTCAGGAGTTCCAACAGAGCAAGCTGGTGGGAGTACTTCCCGGCCGCATGATCCTCCAGCTCACTGGTGCTGTGCTGCTCTTGACACAAGTAGTCCCTTCATTGACATGTGACCAAAACTTCAGGAGTTCCAACAGAGCAAGCTGGTGGGAGTACTTCCCGGCCGCATGATCCTCCAGCTCACTGGTGCTGTGCTGCTCTTCACACAAGTAGTTTCTTCGTTTCCAGGGACGCATCCTACTACCTCTAATCGTACGCCAGTACTGCCGTCCGCCGCACACCGCCGTTCAAGCCAAACTGCACGTACTCGGATTTTGGAAACGCCTCGTACACTGTAGACTATGATACACACTCTATCCTACGCCAGACCCCCGTCGGCAGCTGTGATTTCGGGTTGTCGCAACGCGTGCATACCGTGGTTTCGCTTTGGAAAAGCACTGTAACACCAGGTGTGGGCGTCTCTTTCGTTCCCTCTCTCGCGGCTTTCAGGGTGTACACAGGCAGTTGCGGCGAAACAAACGGCTCTTTGTATTACAAAATGCATGTGTGTAAATAGCAAAAAACGCCTCTGTCTTTTGAACGCCCGCGGTACAGCGCTTTCCGTTACCGCCGTGCGGTTGGCTTTCTACCTAGAGAGATAAGGGCATCTCATGATGCAGCATATGCATAGAAGGACGGCTGTTGGTGTAGGGCCATCACTGCCTTCCAGCGCCTGCTGCTGCTGCTGCTGCTGTAACGCGGAGACCTCAGAGTGCGATATGTACTGCCCTGATGCTGAGAAGATGTTTACTTCGTAGGACCAGTTCATGCGATGGCCGCCGCACAAAGCAGGTGATGCAGAGAGCAGACGTTTCAGAACGACTTTCTATGTAGGTGCCGGCCTAAGGCTTGGCAACAAAGCCAAGAGAACCTATAGAGGTTGCAGTTTACAGGCAGTCAGGCAACCGTTCTGGTGTGGACAATTTTGTACCAAGGAGAAGTGCGGCGTTCATTCAAAAACAAGGGTTGTCGATTCAACAAGAGGCAAAAAGGTAGCGTATTAATACAAAACTCCTTCTTCACCTGCAGCTCTCCGATCTCACAGCTGTCCTGAGTTCCAAAGCGAGGCACGCACAGCCCGCCCCCGACAACGCCGCGCGATCCGTCCTTGGGCACGTTGCACCAGAGGCATCCTACATCGCCCTGACCGAAGTAGTCGACACATGACTCGCAAGTGGCAAACTTAGAGCAGGTGGAGTTACCCGGTTGCTGGCTGCTGTCGTCGTCCAAGTCGAAGTACGACGACATCGGTCTCGCCTCCTTGGGCGTCTCCCTCCCAACTGACTCACGAGCGAGAGGGAGAGATGATGGAGGATAGAGCAGAGAGCAGAAGAGACGAGGACGGCTGACGGCAAGCGGCGGGGAGGAGGGTGGGCAGACCGCAACGGTGAGGGGGGGGGGGGTTCTGCGAAGAATATTGGTCGTGGGCCCCCTCAATGATTTTGATTTGGATGCGCAGGATCCAGGTTTCCGCAGACCTCACCCTGCTCTCTGTCTCGCTGTGATTTCACCAGTCACGCTCGCACGCCGGTAGCTTACGGCAAGATGCCCCTAACGGCGGAGTATACATGGGCAGAGTCGGAGACCATAATTCAAGTACAAGTGCCGCTGAAGGGACAATCAGCATCCAAACTCGATGTCTTCGGTGAGACTGCTTCACTTGGTTTCACTTTATCCCAACAAATCATGAGTCTTCCAATCACACCCTGGGGATTTCCTGTGGAAGAAAGAGAGAGAGAGCCGTCTTCTTGCGCCACCAACTCATCCTCTCACGTCGCGATGCCTGCCTACCTACTGCTCCCTTGTCTTCGTAAGCGACCGAATGTTACCTGAAGGTATCTTTTCCGCCGTACCTTCTGGAGGTGGATCTTGACGGGTACATCGATTCCATGCAGCCGAAGGCCAGGGTGGAGAACGGCACCCTCATGATCAAAGCAAAAAAGAAGGAGGGCAGCGCCAGATTGTGGGGATCCTTAGGTCAACGTGTCAGCCGCAAGTGCGATCCCAAGGTCAAGGCTCGTCGCGAGGAGTCCATCAAAGAGAAACACAAGCTGGAGGACGAGGTTAGTTTTGTCGCCGGTCGGTCGTATGGTCTCGCCTGAGCCAGTTTGTAGTCGATCTCGTTTCTTGCGAGAGGACCGGTGCAACAACATGTTTAGTACGAGATACTGTACCACCGCCAGTTTGACGTGACATCTACCCGCATCAGGACGTGTGTTTAGCAACTCTGCCGTCTCTCTCCATTCTGCAGAAATTACGAGCCCTTGATTGGTGGTTGGTTGAACTGCTTATACAACGACCTACGTGTAGCAGGCGGCAGGTGCATTCTTGCTCCTGATGAACTCCATAACCCCGCACTTAGTGTACATATGTAATGACGACAATGTAGCTTCCTTCGATGTACTTGGAGGCCCGTCCTTCACTGTCACGGCCGTGAGATCGTCTTGTCGTGGCATGACACAATCATCACGGTCCCAATGCCGCCTTCTAACCACACGATCCCCCGCTCGGACCTCCTTATCGTACCGTCGGTTTTCTCAGCTCAAGGAGCGCGTGAGCCTTAGAAGGCACCAGGATGAGCGCTTGGCATTGCGCAGCCAAATGAGCGTGGAGGAAGATGAAAGGAGGCGAATCGACGACATCAAGGCCGAGGAAAAGGAGAAAGCGGAGGTGCCTACCAAATGCTCGCGTTTTCAAACGATGTCGCTCATTTGTAGGTTTAATCTGAGCAACAGGAGAGCATCGATTAGTCGGTGGTTCCGCTCACCTCTGTCGTACTGCTGCAAACGATGGACGATGCATGACTCTAGGTTTGTTTTGGAGGTGTGCGTAAGTGTACCGGGGAAGTTGCCCATCACGGCCGTTGGTTTCACGGAGTCGTTCTTCCCAAATGCCGTTTTATCTTGAGCGTCCTCGCCCGTTTGTGCGTGTCAGGCAGAAGTGTACCGGGCTTTCGCGCAGCTGGCCGCAAAGCAAAATCGAGGAGATTCCGCGGGAACCGAAGCGCAACCAAAAGAGGCGCGGAGCCAGGGGCGTCACCAACAAGACAAGTTCACGCTGCCGCCGAGCTCAACTTGTTCCCCGAGAGATCGGCTTCATACAATCGTTGAGGGAGTTTCCGACGAACATAGTCCTACTCCCGAGATTATGGCTCCTGCGTATACCGCTGCTACAAAGGTCGATGCCGGGAACTCCATTTGGCAGGAGGAAACTGCCACCATCAAAGACGGAGACAGAGGCTACCAGGAAGCCGACGGAGAAAGTGAACGCAGCGGTAGCACAAGCGCGACCGCTGAGTCGTCGTGGTCGTCTGTAGAATTTACCCAGCAAGACGAACAAGAAGAACAGCAGGGCGATAAAACTGACGCCCAGCACAGCGACGAGGACGAGACCCCAGTGAGCTATACGCCGGCGCCGAGGACGTCGGTCGGGGTCATTCCCGTTGGGTTTACCACGCGGCTGTTCCCGACTCCGCTGAGGGAGTCAAAGGTGGCCGACGAGTCAGCGTGGATAATGAAGAACCGCCGGCACCTCCACAAGAACCACGCGCTAGTGGGTAGGCTGCCCGCAGCGGGTTCAGGCTCAGCGGGGGTTGGCGGAGGAGACAAAGATATACCGGAGAGCGACCCCGTCTGGCTCAAGGGTAAGGGCGACGACCTCTACCGGGGGGGCGACTTCCTCGGGGCCGTGAACGCCTACACCGCGGCGCTCGACGCCGATCCCAGGGCCGCCGCCTGCCTCTCCAACCGCGCCGCCTGCTACCTCCGCCTCAGCGGCTGCAACAGCAGCAGCCACGACCAGCGCCGACGACACGCTTCGGCGTGCGTGGCCGACTGCGGGGCCGCCCTCGAAATCCTCCGGGCGCTGCCCGAGACCGGGCCAAGCCAGGCGAGAGCGCTCGCGCGCCGCTCGCTGGCCTACCGCGAACTGGGGCACTACCAGTCCAGCCTCGAAGACTGTCGCGCCGCGCTGCTGTTCAGCCCGGGGGATGCGGCGCTTCTCGAGGAGGCAGCCCAGGGGGAGCCGCTGGCGCAGGCCGAGCGGTGCAAGAAGGAGGGTGCCACTCGATTTGCCGCCGGCGACGTTCGCGGCGCGTGCGAGCTGTACACGACGGCCCTCGAAGCGGTGCCGGGCTTCCCGCCCGCGCTGTCGAACCGGGCCGCGTGTTACCTCGCCCTCGGGAAGCCGGGCGAGTGCGTGCGCGACTGCACGGCAGTCCTGGAGATGCTCTCCGCTTCAGACACGGACCTTTTATCTCTCCTTTGCGACGACCACGACCACAACCATCAACACCCTATTCCAAGAGCAGGGAGCAGCCCGACCGAAAGTGCTGCTCCCGTTGAAAACGAAAAGGAACAAGAGCGGGCCTCACCATTCCCAGCGACAGCGGCGGCTGATAGAACTCCTGCTTCGCCGCCGCCGCCGCCGCCGCCGCCTGTTGGGTCATTACCCCCACCGGGGTCAGAGAAGCGCACAAAATGGGTGATGACTACGGTGGCGCGGCGAGCGAGGGCAAACCTGCAGCTGGACAACGTTGAGGGTGCCCTGCGGGACTTCCGCACGGCGAACTCGATCTGCCCGGGCAACGAGGGCGTCGAAGAAGACATCCGAGAGCTGGAGCGACGCATTAACGAAGCATAAACGCCTTTGGAGCAACACTGAAACCCTTGGCGGGCGTGACGATATAATCTCTCTTGAAGTATCCACTCGCTCTAGTTTCTTCGAGGGTCAAGCTGCAAGCACAAGCAGCAGGTGACGGGGTAGCTGTCCTACAGAGTTTTTTCCAGAGGGGCTAAAAGCACGCCTACGAACGTTTACGACGTGAAACAGCGAAACTCTTCCGTTCCATCGTTGGCCGTTGTAGTGGTGCCCACTTAATTTTTTTTTGTTTCAAACGGTAAAGGCGCGAGTGAGTACAACGTAGAGCCATCGATCGTTTAACTGCAGAACTGGCGATGGGTGTATATGTCAAAGGCACGAGGGGGGTCAACCAACACTGTTATGTATACAGAATGGAAGAGCTTGAGTCGGTGTGCCAAGATTTTAGCCGACAGGGAATGCACCGTTTAAGAAATGCACCAGCGGGTGCGAACGGCGTCATATGCAGCGACAAATACCCGTATTGGCACACTCAAGGACTGTCTCGCCTTGTAGCAGCAGCGGCACACGTCGAATCTCTACAACAACGAGATTCGCATGATTGGCTTATCTAGTTCACACTTGCCCAAAGATCGTTGGACATCTAGGATGTGCACGCAAAGTGCGAAAGAGGGCACACGATGTCCTTCACCGCCTTCTTGCTCGACGCAAACGACACGCCTGGGAAAGCTCTCTGTGCGCGAGAAAACGCCGCAATCGCCAGAATTCCTAGAACTTTTTTTTTTTTTGTCGTCCCATTTATTCCGTGGGCGTTTAAAATTGTACAAGTCCGGACGCACCAGCCGGGGTCACACAGGAAGAAGGCCACACTGGAGTTGTATATCGAAAGTGAAAATAGCTCAGGTCATGACCGCCTTTTGAGACGGAGTCGCGCGTTCTCAAGGACCACACGGCGGCACTTGGTAGAGTAGACTAATGCCGCAACACACGCGTGATTACATAGAAAATCGTGGACCAGGTTATTTACGTCGCTAGACAACACAAAGTCATCGCCAGAAAGTTCCCAAAGAACCGGACCACGAAAAGCAAAAATATTGGTGCCAAAGAATATGTCATCCTTTGGACCCATCAAACACCCTCTTCTCCTCGGTTCGCGCGAAGCTGGGACTGCGTGCTCTCTTACGCCTCCAAACCACCAACGCTTTCTTCCGACGCTAGTGAACGGTGTAAAACAATCCCAAGATGCCCCCCCATGAAAACGATTGTACCACCAGAGACGTGTCCAGCCGTGGCTTCACCCTCTTTCTGCACACTAGCTCTCCTTCTTCCCTCTCCGCTATAGTCCACCACCCGGCGCCCCATGGCCACTCAAACCACAGCAGTCGCTCCCCTTCCTCTCAGTCGTCGTACTCGCGCGGCTGGGAGAAGAAGTAAATGAAGAACGCGATGGCCGAGGCCAGCCCGATCCCAAGAACGATTGGGATCGCCAGAATGCCGGGACCATTGATCGTGCCCACGATGCCGTTGGCGAAGAATTCGGCGAAGTTGTCGGCGTGCGCGGGCACCGCGGAGCCCGTGAGGGTTGCCGCTGACGCTACCGCCGCCACGGCAGCGACACGCTGGGCGCTCTTGCTGCTCCCAGGCTCACCTGCCGCCATGGACGGCCCTCGGGTCGTCGTGCGGCTCGCTCCTGCCGTTATGCAAGATATGGGTGAAGGGCGAGCAATGTAAATCTACGGAGTTTTGCATGACCGCAAGGATATACCTTGAGGTATCGAGACCATACAAGTCTGCAATCAGTAACACGAAAGACATTCTTCCAATATAGCCGAGTCGTTCGGGAGGATTTAGACTATGTTCGAACGCGTGAACACTGCTGTGCGTGACGCCTGTTGCTAGAATTGTCACTACCAGTACAGCAGTAGAGAGACCAACGGAAGGGGGGTAGAGGAGCAACACTTACTTCGTCGGCAAAAAAAAAAAAGGAGATATCAGTTGATACTCTGCTGTTGTGCTAATCTCTGGCTACCTACGCCCGTTATTTCATATATAGAGGGTTGAATAGTCCGTGGTGCTCACAGCAGTAACGAAGAAGGAACGGAGGGAAGGATGGTATCTACCGTACGACCAAGGGCGGCATGACACATGATGATTTTTACGTCGACATGTTTCCTCAAACGCAATACTATCGGAAAGAGAGAGAGAGAGGTCAACCGGCAGCGGACAAATGCCTTGCAAGCAGCAAAAAGAGAGTTGCCAGTGATATCAGTCCCTCCTCTGCACCTGTGTGGCGGGAGGCTCTGGTGAAGGGTGCCACGTGCTGGCTCTGAGTCGCCGACGGTCGGAGAGAGGCAGCTCGCCCCACAGGTTGTCTACCAAAGCTGGTAGGCGAGACATGGAAGGCTGTGCACGTTGACAGTACAAAAGCCAACGCAAGAAGTGCCAACCTCCACGCAGCGCCCATCATGGTTTCTAGGGAATGGTGGGGTTTGTGGATGTAGCACGTGTCAAGCGGCTGTGGTGTGTGCGACGTCTGCGACGTGCCGTCTTGCATATGGGGCACCGTGGAATCGTTCGATGTTGGAAACGGGGGGTAAGAATAAAGTTCCGCCGCGTTGTGGCTAACCCATCGCGACATTCCACGCTCTTCTGACTCCCCACGGCTGCCCATCGGGCATCAAGCACCTACCACGCTGCTCTTGCGGAGTACGCGAGCGCATTCTGGTCTGCAATCGCCCCGAAAGAGTGCGTTGCCGTAATCGCTCTCGGGAGATCGGGGATTGATTTTCGAATAGTGCAACTATCTACAAATTTACAAATTTGAATACCTGCCGAGAGCTCCCCGCGCTGCTGCATTGCCCGTTCAGAGGGAGATTTGAGAATTTGGCGGTAGCCGTGGGCGGCCACCGATGTCGCTGTCCTGGAGCGACCACACGTTTGACAGCGTGTTGTTCCAGCCGCATGGAGTGGAGCAGCATCGTGGCCTTCTGAACATGAGCTCGATCCCTACCAAGTGAGTCTTTCACAGCATTTTGGTCGTACAACAGCAGCAGTTTCGCGGCATTGCTCCTTGTATCTTCCACATGCGGTCGTCGTGCCGCACATCGCCGAAGGGCCACAGCAGTACAGTAGTTTGGACCGCATGGGATAAGATTCAGGCTAGCAAACGCCACCTTAATATTATTATTGAGCTACCAAACGTTTGAAAATCTGGGGAAAGATATCTACACACACACACCAATTGGCGGGCCTGGGTAGGAAGACAACAGAGGTTTAAGGAATAATAAATACACACACAGAAAGACTACCCATTCGAGATATACCCGCAGTCGAAAGGTTATGACCGAGGGTTTCACAAAAATTGGAACACACCGGAGACCTGGCTTCTTCCCTTCTTTGCGCCACCCACTAGGCCAAACCTAAGCTATTGCAGTATGCAGCAGGTGTCCCTCTCAAAACCTTACTGGAAAGGCTTTTAACAAGTCCCTTCGAACGGGGGCATCATTGTTCTCGATGCCATCTAGATTACGGAGTACCATTTGATTGCTAGAGGGCTCCCTGCATATTTTGTTCTCTTCCGATACTGAATCCCGAGTCAGTTACGATCGTCAATGCATTGTTTGAGCTATTAGTTTACTTTTACACCGAGAACGTCGTACACCACCAAGGAGCCCCTCAACTCTGAATGATAATGTTGGTGTCGATAAGTAGACTAAATACACAGCGTTCTACAAATGGTCTACTGGGTTGCATTTTACGATTTTTTGTCAGCGTGAGAACCACGAAGGGCCAAGAGCGCTTGTTGCGTGTCTCGCGACTGGTCTTTCGGCTACTTGCGCACTTATATTTGCAGCGTGCATAAAAATTTTGTTGTGCGGTCAACCCAGCGCGCACACGCAGAATTCCTGAAAGAAAATGTATTGGCAGCACAAATGGAGAGGGCGTGCATTTTCCTCAACTGCCGATGCTCACCCTCCCCCGAGAGCGCGACGCCTTGGCATGGTTTCGCCCGAACGACTAGTGTCACATCTCTTCCCCCCCCCTTGCCCGCTCCCGCTTTCTGTCTGCTCTTGGTGGGGGGGAAAGGTATGAGAACGCCTCTGTTTTTCACCAGACCGAGTGGGTCGATGTCGACACCATCAGCATCAACCTCGCGGGCAACGTGGTGATCTTCCTGCTAGCCCTGACCTTTTTCTGGAGCTCGAGGCGGCACTACCCCAGCTATTTCTCGTCCAAGCGGTACTACCTGCCGGACCAGACGCCGCCGGACCTTCCCTCTTCGGGGTTTCTCAGCTGGATAATGTGAGAGAGAGAAGTAAGAGAGAGACAGAGAGAGACAGAGAGAATGCCGCGGAAAATCTCATATGTGAGAGAGAGAGAGATGAGAGAGAGAGAATGCAGCGGACGATCTCGGATGGAGAGTGTGCGAGAGAGAGACATCAAAAGAGGTAAAATGCCGCTAACGATCTAAACTGAAATATTTGAGGGTGTGTGAAGGAGCGAGTGAGAGAGAGAGACAGAACAACGACCAGTGTGAGAGAGAGATAAGAGAGAATGCCGCGGATGATCTCAGCTGGATAGTGTGCGAAAGACAGATAAATAATGGAGAAAATATGCCGCTGACGATCTCAGCAGGACCATGCGTGTTTGAGGAAGCGCATTGCTGTTGAAGCTGATGGCGTGTATGTTGCCACCTGTTGCCACGTTTCATGTGTGGCAGAGCACTTATACAGCTGCTTGGCGCTCCGTCCCCCTCCGAGGGTGGAACGGTCAATCGCGTCGCCCGTGGTTCCAGTACCCTCTCCACCCGCTGCCTTGCTTCACTCGGCTAAGCTAGCTTCTTGTCCCATCGCTCCTCCCCCCATGCCTCGGAGCCCTCCTTCAGCTCACCTCTTAACTCTTGCAACGCACTGCTTTGTGTCTACAACGTCCCAACGTCATCTTGTGACCATCTTACTGACTGACTGACTAAATAGCCGGCTGACTGGCTGACTAACTGACTGACTGTAAAATCCGGCTGGCTAACTGGCTGACTAGCTGGCTGACTAACAGGATGACTTGAAAAACCGACTGACAGAACATCCATTTGACGTGACTGACGGATATACCGACTGTCTGACTGGCTGGCTGAATGTACAGGCCGCTGATGGCCTTCCCGGAAGACGATATCTTGACGTACGCCGGGTTCGACGCCGCCATTTTCCTCCGGTTCTATGCCGTGGCCTTCAAGGTGTGGAGAAATCAATGTCTTACCACGCGCCGAGATGTTTTTATGGAGTCGGCGGTTGCCGGGATCCGAATACGGGCAAGGAAATGGACACTCAGATGGGGGAGTGTGTGGGGGGGGTTAGAGATTGTCGCTTTTGTGAGATGCTTCCTGCGGCAGAGTACGTGTGGGGGAAAAAGCCGAGGTGTTTTGCTGATTGCACCACCTCTTGATGTCATGTCTTGACGATTAGGTTGTGCCCCTATCTACCACGCACCGTACCCCTTGCCCTACTACCACCACCACGTTGGGGACACACAGCTGGGAATTGGATTGACACAAATAAACCAGGAAGATACGATATCCAAATCTGTTAACAAGTTCCTAGGGAAAATACTCAATTGTTGAGCTATTTTATGAACGGAATCTCCCTGATTCTGCGCCTTGATGGACACAGGCCCAGAAACGAATTGACGCCGTTTGTTGAAATCCCCGCGTAATAAAACAACGAAATACAGGTGTTCGCGCTCTTCGCACCGTACGGCCTTCTGGTGCTGATTCCCGTCAACGTCATGGAGACCCCGAGCGACAGCAACCAGGCCCAGACCAACATCAACACCTTCAACCGGCTGTCCATGTCAAACGTGCAGCACTACAACCCTTGCATGTGGCTTCACGCGCTTGGGATATACCTCCTGTCCGCCTTGGCCATGTACTTTCTGGTGGTCGAGTACAGGTGCACGCCGTTTTTTTTTCTTTTTGTCTCCTCTTTCTGTTCTGGAGTGACGGGTACGATGGTGTTCGTTGCATGCTGCTGGTGGCCGTTGGTGTTGTTGTTGTAGAGCGTGTGTGTGTCCCCGACCCTTTTTTTTTTGTGTGTTTCTTTTTGTTTTTTTTGTTTCTGTCGTGTGCTTGCCGTCCTCAACCCAAGGATGACTGATTTTCGCATTCGACGGGACTGGCGTGTTTCCCTTCGTTCGCGATAAAAAAGGGTGTAGCGAAAGCGGCTCGAAAGGACGAGGTCGTCGTCTTTTCGAGCGCCTGTCACCACGCCAAGCATTGCAACTTTTAAGTGTTCTGCCTTCCCTTCCACCGGCGTATAAATAGTTATAGCCTCTCTGCGGTGCGGTTCAACCCTCCGCCCCCGCCCCCCGCCCCCCGCCCCCCCCCGGGCGGCCTGCCTGGCGTCGCCCCCGCCGTTTCCAGGTACTACACAAATCTGCGCCACCGGTTCTTGAGACGAAAGTCGGCGCACCTGCGGACCATCGTGGTGCAGGGCGTGCCTCGCGAGATGAGGTCGGACTCCAAGCTCTTCACGTATTTCAACACACTGTACCCGGAAGAGGTGCGCGTGATCTTCCTCACATATCAACGCCGTCTGTGTTCACACGCGTGTGCTTGATTGTGGGTGTCTTTATTGTTGGCCTCGACGGCGGTAACCGGCTACTGGCCAATGACGTCTATTCTCAGCGTGGTTGAAAGCAGAAATGATAATGATTCCAAAGGCCATTTGATCGGGGACCCCGTGAGCGTTTGTATGTGTATGTTGTGTTACAGGTTGAGGTAGGTACATATTTATGTGTGTGCTTCCGAGTGTTCTGTGTTCGTGTATGTGGGTTAGGTGTTTGTTTTTTGTGGTCTTTGTGTTTTATGTTTTACGTATTCAAGTATTACGATTTTGGGTGTCCTGTGTCCGTGTGCGTGGGTGTGTTTTTGTTCTCTTTTAGGGCCCAAGTTGGTAGACTGCGACCCTTTTTGCATACATACTACATTGTCGTGGGTGTGTTGTGGGCCTTCGTCTGCCTTTCGTGTTTACCCGTTGAGCGTGTGTCCATGTCTGTGTTTGCTCCGGACCTGCTTTTCCCGGCCCGCGACTGGTTTTATGGGCCAACCGCGCCTCATAGCGTCTCATCAAACATACCGTCTGTCTCGCGCGAATCCAGCTCTCCGCCCCTCTTGTGTGTACCCGATTTGGGTGCGCACACCGCGGAGCTTCGACATGCGCCACGGCGCCCCCAGGTCCTCCCAAAACCGCTTTGAGTTACGTCTACATCCACAAGAGAGCTTGTTTTCTAAGCTGGTGGCCCTTTCTTGCTTTTTTGTAAGCACTACCAGCAACCATGTTTAGGCCTCGACCAAGCTGTTTGTGTTGTCTTCTTTTTTTTTTTGTCGCTTGTCACGAACCGCTGTGACGCTAAAAAGCGTGCCATGCAACGCCGCTGATCGACTGCCTGCCGGGCGCACCCAGGTGGTGAACGTGCACATACCCCAAAACCTGTCCCGTCTGCGGGGCCTCATCCGGGAGAGGCAAGCCGTGCTGGAGAACCTCGGGAAGGGGCTGGCGGAGAAGGGGGTGAGGGGGGAGGAGCAGTACCACTACACTGGTGAGTGGCTCTCCCTCAGGATGTTGTCGTCCTCGAAGCATGATAGGGGGTGCTGCTCTCGCCCTGTGAACGGAGAGCTCTCTGGGCTGATTCGCTGCAGCGTAGTTGACCACCTTTTTTTTGCCGCCTTTGGCAAAGTAGGAAGGAGTGATTGGGCTATCGGTGCTCGGTTCCTGTGGGAACAATGCTCCGTCCTCTCGAGGACACGTGGTCAATGGCCTAACGATGAAGACATGCAAGCATGAGCACGCCCCCCGCCCGTCCCCCCAAAGAAGATGCAATGGGTAGAGTTTGTCTACCTCGATAGGTTGGCACACAGTGGTGCGCCAGCAGGGGTAGAAGAAGCGGCTTCAGAATAGTATTTTACAACGCAGGACGAGGAGACGAACGAAAGCATGGCGTCGTATGAAGGAGTACGTTGGGGGGGCAAAGCGTCTTTCGTCGACGTCGTTGGGTGAAACATTTTGCGTTAGTGGTAACTTGTCGCTCCCCTGCCCTCGTTCTACCACCAACTGGTGTTGCTGCTGCTGCTGCTTGCTGTCAAAATCTTCAGGAGTGTTGTGCTACCGAAGGAAGCGGGTCAACACCGTGGGCTTTTGCTCGACGCAACTAGACCGGCTCAACCTTGCTATCGCCACCGAGCAGGACCAGCGAATTCCGCGGAGCCGCCGCCGCTTCGGCTGGGGGCCGACTCTTCCGGTGCGTGTGTTGAACAGACACATTGCCTTCAGACAGGCGTTTTGTTTTGGGTGGGGACGGGGGCGGGGGGCGCCCTCATGTTTTGCACGC